CTCGTCGTCTTTCTTCGTTTTCTTGACTCCTCACTTTGAAGTCTTTGGTTCAAAAAGCAGTTCTGGAGATTAATGAAATCTCTTTTTTTTTCAACATATTCATTTGAGACATCGATAATTGTTTACAAATAACTTATTCCTTTCATGAATTAATTAATTGCCAATAGCAATTAATACAAGGATTAATAAAAAAGAATATTTATTCAGTCTTTCATTCAGATAATATAGTCTACTATTCTGTTATAACAGTAATGAAGATCGCGCCGTATAAATTTACTTTCATATACGTGTCATATACGTGTCATGTAGAAATATGTTCATTAACACACAGTATCATCTTTTATGAAAACAATTTTATCTCTTTTTACACAGGATATGTTTGAAAAAGAATGTTCCTTGTAGATTTGCTTTAATCAGCGTACATGTGTATATGTGACTAGATACGATTAATGAGATTTGTGTTTACACATTAAATAAAAGTAGAATTTAACAAAATCTAATATCTCAATCGGCACAAATTAGAAATAATGTAACATCAGTGTTATAATTTCAGCAATATAAACGTAATATAATCACGATTGCCAGCTTTCGATCAGTGTTCCGCTGGAACTTGAAAGTCCATGCACCAGAGATTAGACTGTTCTGCTAGAGATCGATTGCTCACTTAGATAGCCTCTCTAAAAAAAGTCATCAAATTTTTTATTGTTCTGCCGGAAATTTCTTTTTAAAACCGGAGGAAAAGGTGTGCGTGTAAAAAGAGAATAAAAGGATCTTTTCTGTTTTTATTCACACAATAATTATACTTTTTAATCCATTTATTTTTTTGATCTCTTCGTGAAATTATATGTTATTCTTTTTTAATATTAAAAAGAAAATTTAGAATGTGGAGATTTTCTCGTCTGCCGGAGTGCCGGAGATTGGTTTAAAAAATCGGAGTCTCCGACAAAAAATCGGAGAACCGGCAACTATAAATATAGTGTTACATAACAGTTATATCGTTGAGTTCGAAATTATAGCGTTGATGTGATGTTACTTTTAATTGGTGTATGTAAGAGCGGTAATGTTAATCTAATTAGTAAATTATGTATTTAAATATTATATCAAATTAGATCCTCTTCAATGATTCAAAATGATTGCATGTAATCGACAAGAGTTTGAAGGAATAATTTGCAGAGATTTGTTTTTACTAACATATTCACATACAGATATTATGAAACACAATTATGCGACATACGTTATAGCATGTCGTTATAATTGAATCGTAATATTATCTTAATGTACAACGTAATATATTAAATATATCGCTTCAATAAGAACACACTAAAGATATAGAATTAAATATTAGAATCAAATCGTATTATCGTTCATTCAATCTGATTTTTACATGTTTTTACGTTGGATATTATCGCGGTGCAAGGGTGTGATATGTACATTAAGATTACCAGATTAATATTTTAACTAATATAGTTTGTATATTTTCAGTAGAAAATTAAAATTATTTGACGAGAGCCATAATTAATTGTTTGGCGCAAGGTAAAGAATTAATATTAATGTATTATATAATTACAGTTATAATACCAATATTAATAATAATTCAGCAATAATATTCTTATCAACATAAACGCAATGTGATAGCTTTTTATCGGTGATTTATTTATGGTTTATTCAAATCCCTTCGCAAAATTAACATTTAATGGTTTTTATAAATGGTATATTAGAATTTTTATGATGTATGTTAGAATTTTATTTTTATTTTTAATAAATCTAAATAATATTAAAAAATTCAAACTAACAAAGCTTACAACAGTCTGAAAATAGCTATAAATTCTCTTTCAACGAGCCACTCTTTTCTACGCAGAATTCAGTATATAAAATGGAGTTAAAATAACCTTCGACCTTTGGTATTGATGTGTCCAAAAGAATATATTACAACATTAAATTAAGTGGTTTATTAGTAGCGTAAACACATATCTCAAGAAATCAGAAGCTTATTACAATTAGATGAAAGGTTTTGCCTTTCTGCTACGAGTAGACTCAATAGCATAATTGGTTGTATAAAAGCTGTAGAGAATAATCTTTCCAGATTTAGGTTATAAAATAACAACAAATTCAGAAATGTAATATTTCCTTCATCAAAACTAGAGGTCACGAAAGACAAGCAGGCAATTTTATTATTACAGCAATTTCGATTACGAAAATATTTTAAATTGATAATCAGAACGTTATTGTGAGGAAAGTGGATAAAGGCAATATCGTTGTGACCTTGGAGAAAGATGATTACATCAATAGAATAAAGATAATTTGACTGACATACACAAAGACTATTTCATTTTATCGTGATATTTTTACGAAGTTCAATTTTGCAATTCTTTTGCGAATATTGTTTGATAAAAATCATTTTGCAATGTAGAAATATGCATTAAAAAATATCTATGTAAATAGGAATTTATAGATAATAAACGATGATTCTTAATAAAACTCCTGTCTTATTGATTTTTTCGCGATCCGCTCTTGGTAAGATGGGATTGGAAGAGTTGAGAAACGAATGAGTAGCGTTTGAAATGTGATCTAATTGTTACCATCTTTTTAGGATTTTTTTAAGTTCACTAATTTATTTACATATTTATAGGAATACATTGAATTAATTTATACAGGGTGTCTCGTAAGTTTTTGCTAAACGCTTTTGTGTAGATAGAGCGCGGACTAAATTGAGTCGAAAAGTCTTCTACTATTTTGCAATTTTCGCGATAGTTAGCCAGATATTAATTACTAAAAATTGCCGAATATTGGTTTTCAATAATATTTGTTACTCAAATACTATCAACTTTACAGAAAAACTGCAAGAAAGAAAATTTATTTACTTTCCTCTCATAGAACTTTAAGATTTATATTAATAAGATATTTTTTCAGAATTTTTCATCAACTTTTTAGTGCTGCATTTTCTTTTTACCAACATGAGAAAATAGAATAAATAAATATTTTATAAGAAATAAAATAAATATTTAACTCACACACACAAATGTGTTGATATTTTTCGAAACCAGAGATTCTTCCTTCTTCCCCCATATACAACTCCATTCTAATCCCCATCAACATATCCCCCGTTACCTTTCCTTTCTTATTTTTCTTCTTTGCCTCCTGCACTCTCCATACATAATCCTCTCCGGCAACCTTTCTTTTAAATACTTCCTTCCCTTTTTCTCCACCCATGTCTCCATTAAAACCATCGCATCCCACTTTTTCAATCTATCCCAAAAATCCTCCTTCCCCTCCCCTCCTCTTCTCTCACCTCCCTCCCCCCCTTCTTCGCTCCCTGCTCCCTGTTATCCTCCTAGTCCCCTCTCCCTATTATCTCCCTTCCCCTCTCCCCCTATTTATCCCCTCCCCTTTGCCCTCTGCTTTGTCCTTTTCACCCTCCCTTCCCCTTCTACCCTCCTTATTATTCCCCCTTCCTCTCCCTCCCCTCTTCCTTCTTCCTTCCCCCTGCCCTCTTTTTTCTCCCTCTCCCCATTTCCTTTCCCTTCCATCCCTCAATTCCTCCCTCTCTTCATCCTATTTCCGCCACACTCCCTCTTGCCCCATTTTCGCTTTCCCCCCTTCCTTCCTTATCACTTGCCTCATCATCCATCTCATCTTCCTCTCCTTCCATGTCAGATCTTCCTCTATCCATATCTCCCTTCCTCTCAATTTCTCTTTACTTCTTGAAATCTTTCCCTTATTCTTCATATTCCCCATTGTTACCACCCCCATCCATCCCCTCTCCTTTCTACCAGCCTTTAACTCCCTTACTCTTTCAACCTCTACCTCCGCCTCTAAACTTCCCAAAATCTCTCTTATCTTCCCGTCCATCTCCCCATTTCCCCCCTCTACCCCTTTTATTAAAATATTCTTTTTCCTCTCTTTTCTCTCTCTCTATTCATTCTTTCTCTCTAATCTTCTTATTCTTTCCATCCACCCCTCCCTCCCTTCTCTCTCCCCTATCTTCTCTCTATCTCCTTTTTCTACCTTCATCCCTTCCCTCTCTCCTCCCCCTATTCTCATTTTGTCTAATTTTCTTTCCATCTCCTTCAATCGCTCAATCATTTTCCCCTTTTCTCTCTCCCACCTTTCCTCCCTCTCCTTCAGCTCTCCTTTCATCCTCTCTACCTTTTTCCTCATCCACTCCTTCTGCCCCTCCACTACCTCTCTTATTTCTTTTCTTACTCCCAATAAACCCTCCTTCATTTCCTCCCTCATCTCTTTTAATAATTCTTTCATCCCCCCACCCCCCCCTTTTCTCCCGGAGATTTTACCGTCTTCTTACTACTCCTAAACGCATCCTCTACCTTCCCCTCTCCCTCCTCTCCACCCTCTCCATCTCTCTTCCTTTTCTTAAACTTCTCTATATCCCCCATGCTTCCCCTCCTCTCCCTCTCTATCGTACTAATCCTATCCGCCATCCCCTTCACCCGCTCCTTCTCACCCTCTCCTTTCTCCTATCTCTCATCCTCTCTCTCACTCTCTATCTTCCTATCACACCGCCTTCCAATCCTCCCGAACAGACCTTACTTTTCGCCTTTAACTTATATTCCTCTTTCTCGATCTCACTTATCCCCACCTTTCCGTCTCCTCGTTAACTTCCCCGCGCCCCTCGCACTCTACCTCAGCTACGTCCCCTAACCTCAACCTCTCTTTCCCTTCTTCCTGTCTCTTCACAGCCCTTTTCCTTCCATTCGCACACTCTCCCTTTCTTCTCTCCACTCCCTCTTTCACCTCCACCCACATTCACTCACACACTCCTCTCTTACTCTCCTCTCACACTCTCTGCTCTACCAACTCCAATTTCATCTGCTCACTTTTAATACACCGGAAACGGAAGCCCAAAATTTACTTAACTAAAGATACTTATTCTACGTAATGATTCATACCCAATTTTCTTGACCTTCACCATTTTATTTTTATTTTTGTCCAAATTACAATATACTTGAATCTATTTTCGTTTCGCTCACTTCTTACTATCTCTAATCCTCCCTCGCTTCTTGATGAGCCCGGGATGCAGCCGCGACCCTGTCTCCGACTGCATTCTCCTCTCGAGACAGTATACAAAGGCCTCCTTGTCCTGCTGTCCCTCTTTCTCCGGGCGAATCACCTCCTTCCTTCGGCCTAGCCGTGAACCTCCTCTTGCTACGGGGTTGCTTCTTTCTTTCCTCGATTTTACTGGCAAACTTCCCTTTATGCCTCGGTTGATCCTTCCTTGCCTTTGTTGTTGTCGAATGTTCATCTCTACGTGACTTGTGTTCCCGGTCCTTATCCCTCTTAATACTTTTTTCTTTCCTTTCCTTTGACTCGTCCCGGCTTCTCTTCTTTCGCCTCTCGGGTTTTTCCTGCACCACATTGTATGCCGTGACAGGCCTATGTTCCTCCGGGATAGTATCGAGGTCCGTTGATACGCTCCTGAAATTCGCCCTTCTCTTCGCGACAGCTTCCGACAATGTAGAGCGTGAGCTATCCCATAAATTCGCTGGCAATTCCCGCTCCAATGACCTTTCCCACTCTTCTCTCTTTCTGGCTCGTTCTGAAGTAATGACTCCCTCCTTAAACGCTGACCTCCTATTTTGCTCCCTCTCAACTTGCAATCCTTTGTAGTCTCTACGCAGCTTTCTCTCGCTATATGTTCGTTCGAACAGTCCTGGTACGATACTAAATTATTTTCGCTACCGCGACTCGTACTTTCTCCTATTGTTCGCATTCCAATCGCAAGGTTGTTTACTGCGTGATTCTCAGCCTTGCTTGATTCCTCGTGATAACAACATGACACCTGTTGCTTTCGCACGCTATTATTCTCACGTTCAGATTCAAATTTCTCTCTACAGGGATTCTCTTCCTGCGGATCCTCGTCAGTGGTGCTCACTTCGGCATCCAATTCTCTCGTCCATGATAGGGTTACCGCTTTCTTCTTTCTCCTCTCATTCTAACCTCTTCGTACTCCACTTTTACTTCTTCCTCATCATCACTGACTATTCTCGGCTTTTTTTAACTTTTTTTTAACTTTTTTCAGATGTCTTCTCATCACCAATTGCGTCCATGGATTTTTGCGTTTCGATGTCGTCCTCTGATTGGCTGGCTTCTCTGGTACCCCAAACTTGTCTCCTAACCTCTTCTTTTTTTGATCTTCTTGCCTGGGTAACTCCTATTCCCTTCGACTAATTTCCAAATTTTCGGTGTTGTCCGCTTCCTTTCGCCGTCCCGTTTCTGTTCCGCCATATTGGTTTTCCAAAAGTGTGGGTATCTCATGAACCAATCGTTCGATTGATCTCATTCCTTCTGTATTCAATCCAGTTTGGCCTTGCAACTCTCCTCCCTGAATTTCAAAATTTTCTACCGTTTCGTTCACCTGCCCCTCTGTGGGTAATTCAGTACACAGTCGTCCTATTCCTATCATTCCTTTTGCGTTCCTCCTCGTTTGATTTTTAGACGTTGCTCCATAAATTTGAGAATTTTTCACCGTCTCGTTCATTAACTCCTCCAGGGGTGATCCCGATTGACCACGGCTCGATTGGACATCACCAATCGCAGCGACCGGTGCTTAGGAGCTTTGTAGTCTCAAGCGCTATGAGTGGCTCGTGTCCAATTGAGCCGTGCCCAACTGGGTGCCACCCGCTCCTCCATATTATCCATGGGTAACTCAGCCTCCAATCGTTCGATTTGTTTCGTTCCTTCTGCCTGAAGTATGATTTGTCCTTGCAGCTTTACTCTCTTAGTTTCATCTTTTTTCATCGTCTCGTTCCTTGGTTCCTCCGTCTTGGCTCCACGTAACTCAGTGTCCAATCGTTCAATTTGTTTCGTTCTTTCTGCTTCCAATATGTTTCGATCTTGTAGCTCCACTACCTGAATTTCGAAATTTTTTACCATTTGATTCTTTAGTTCCTCCATCTTGATCTCTATTTCGCATAACGCCACATCCATTCGTTCGATTTGTTTCGTTTCTTCCGCATCCGGTTCAGCTCGCTCTTGGGACTCCATTTCTTTACTTCGCAAATCTTTTACCGTCTGGTTCTTTTGGGTTTCCTTTATTTCTCTCAATTCTTCTTCATCACTAGATTCCAACGCGATCATATTAATTTGTTCCATGAACCTCAGTACCTTCTCCGTGCCAAAATGTAACAACAATTGGTGCACTAACATGATAACCTCTTACGTAATTTCCTTCGATAATGCCACTCTGTCTCCATCATCTCCGTCGTGTTTTACCCTATACAAACCATCTCGTTCATATATCCTGATCTGGATATTCTCCCGCAGCCTCTCTTAATTGCTCATCTCGGTCCTGCGCCTGTCTGATTATTGGAATCAAATATTCCGTGTTACCATCCGTCACGTCTTGAATCAATGTAGTCTTAATCTTCGACTCCGCTCCTTTCACGATTCCTCTTTGCATTTGTGATAACGCATCTGCATTATCTTCGTTACGCTTTTCCTCTACATGCTGAATTTCTAAGTCGAATTTCTGAAGAAACGCAAACCTCGAGTTATTACATACACATGTCTCCAAAAACTTGACAACCTGGTGATTCGTGTGCACTCGCACGTAGCTTTCCAACAACACCGTGTGCCACTTCTTTAATGCCCATACAATGGCTAGACACTCCAACTCTGCCACTGAGTAATTTAGTTCAGCACCCTTCACACTGCGACTAGCGTACGCAACCGTATATATCTCACTTCCTCCTTCCTGATATTGATATAGCTTAGCTCCTAATTCGTCCTTTGAAACGTCCACAAACAGACCGAACTTGTGCCCAGGTTGAATGAGATACAGATCATCCACTTGCTCAAATATCCTCTTGACATTCTCGAACGCTTTTTGCTCGACCTCCGTCCAGATAAACTTTACGCCTTTCAACAACAACCTCTCTAGTGGCCCTGTCAGCTTCGCTAGATAGTTTATAAACTTTCGATCCCAATTGACTAGTCCTAGGAAAGCCTGCACCTGCTTCTTTTTTCTCGGAGTGCTGAATTCTCTTATCAATGCCTTGGTTTCCTCATTTATTTCCGCTTTGATGCGTGTAAAAGTATGTCCCAAAAACGTTATCTCTGACTTTAGGAACTCGCATTTTTCCTGGTTTAATTTGAACCCTGCGATTTTCAGTCTTTCCAACACAGTCTCCAAATCACTCAGATGCTCCTCTAAAGTCTCTGAAATTATCAGAACATCATCAAGATAGACAATGACCCTCTCTAGACATTGATCCAATGCTAAGTTCATTGCTCTTGTGAATGAAGCTCCAGCGGTTTTCAACCCAAAAGGCATTCTGTTAAAAACATATGATTGACCTCTAAATAAAAACCCTGTATATTTTCGTGACTCCTCATGCAACGGAATCTGCCAGAAAGCGTTGGAGATATCTAATGTACTAAAGTACCGCTTTTTTCCAATTCTTCGAAATATCTCATCTATTGTCGGTGATTGGGCGTGGTCATTCGCCATTCGCCGATTCAACTCTCGTGCATCTAGACACATACGAATCTTCCCGTTCTTCTTCACAACCACTACCAACGGATTGATAAACTGTGTAGCCTGCTTCCTCACGATTCCTTGTTCCTCTAATTTCCGTAAATAATCCGCCACTGCCTTCTTGTGTCTCTCTGGGACCGGATACGTCCTCTTCTTAAACGATGCCCTTGTTGTAATCTCTATATGGTGCTCGTAGTGATTAACGCATCCTGTTTCTCCGTCGAATAACTCTTCTTTTGCTCCGATCAGCTCATTGAGCTTCCTTTTCGCCTCATCCATTGTTAACGCCGCAACCGTCTGATGTCTATCTATCTCATTTCCGAAATCATATTCTATTTCGGCTCCACATCGCACTATCATTTTGTTAGTCGATAGAAAATCTATTCCAAGGATTACCTCATACGCCATACGTTCCACTATAAAAAAGTCGTGTTTGCACTTCCTTTCACCGAACACAAACTCCACTCGTGCTTTCGCGATTATCTTGCCCTTTTCCAAGAAAACTCCTTTTATGATCACATTCCTTATCGGCACTACTCGCATCTGCACACTGGCCTTCGCCAACCTATCATATACCGTTTCCGTAACCACTGAGATCTGCGCACCCGTGTCCACCAATGCTTTCACCTTGACCTCGTTGAAGAATATCTCTACTAACGGCACCGATGGGTTTTTAACCGGGGTTCTCTGTTGCTCCTCCATTTCCTCGTCCACTTTCTCCAACGTCCTTCTCAATCTTGAAATGTTTATTGTGCGATCACTCGGGCCTTCATCTCTCCCGATCTTCTCCGTGGTCATCTTCCGATTGGTCGATCCGCTCCTCTCGTTCTCCACTCTCCTATCTTCTCGCGGTCTTGCACCCCGCTGGACATATTGATTCCTTCTCTCAGGCGATGAGTATCTCTTCCTTTGTTCGTAATAATTTCCACCACTAAGTTTTCCCTCCCGTGGTGCGTCACGTGGTCCATAATTGTATTCTTCTCTCCTCTCAGGCCTCGGCCTTTCCTCATATCGATAATCTAGTCGCTGATATGGTACTTTTAACTCTCCTTTCTCCGCCTTGTTCATAGTTTTCCTTGATTCGAACTCGACCCGTTTCTGCTCCACCAGCATTTGGCTCCTCTCATCCTCAATACTTGATAATAACTTCACTAGATCCCTAACCGTCGTCTCCCGGATTTCTCGCGAAATTTCAATTGCGAAGTGACCCTTTAGCGCTCTGATCACTTCCTTTTCACTCATTGGTGGTGATAACAACTTAGCTTGTCTCGCCAATTCCAATGCATAATCTACCATCGTCATTCCTTTATCGGATCTATATCGACCAGTGTATATTCTTTGTCTGAACCGCGCCTGCTCTTCATCTCCCCAGAAATGTTCTAGGAAATTTTCTCGCGCCTCTTCATAACTATCTGGCTTATTAAGCTCGTACCACACTGCCGCCTTATCCTTCATCGTGATCCCAAAGTAATGCAATTTGTCTCTCTCATCGACATCTTCATATTCGGCTATTTTCTCGAATTTACTGATAAATCTTATCGGATTTTGGCGGTCATGTCTTCCGTAGAAACTTAATTCCTCAAACGGATTCTTTAACCACCCATCTCGTGGTAATCGAATCCCTGGCACTTCTGTTTCTCGTATCACCTTTTTCCGCTCCTCACGGACTTCCTTAACATCTTGGTCCTCTTTTTCGTTGTATTCATCGATATCACTCCAGATCGCCTCAATTCCGTCGTCGTTCTTCGACTGTCTTCGGCTACGCAGTGTCTCCCGCGTCTCATCTCGTAACACTGTTTCCTTTCTTGCTTTTCCCATCTTGACCTCCATACTTGCAAAGCGGTCCAAAATCGCGTTGAGGATTTTTTTTGTGAGGCTTAAATTCTCAGCTCTAGCTCTCTTTGCAATCGATTCGGCCTCCTGACAGGCATAAATCATCTTCTCAAATTGTTCCATTTGAGCCAAGACCGTCGCGAACATGTCGTTCACACTCGCCGCATTTTCACCCACTCTTTCCACTAACACGTTACTTCTGTCCATTTTGTCCAAAAACGTTTCTGACGCACTCTTCCTAATCTCCGGCGTCTTATTCAACTGTTCCTCTAACATCGTTGTCAGTCTAACCAAATTCGGGTCAGACATAATTTCACGCACTTTACCACTGCGCATCTCGCCCTTCTTTTTCAGTGAATGTGCTACTCCCAACATTTCACCGTCACTCTTTCCCGTTTACCAGAGATTAAATCGTTAATCGTTTTTATATCACGGCTACACTCGCTTCTGCAACACTTGACCGTACGCTCTATCACTCCGCACTCTCTGTGCCCTCTCAAATGCACCACACTGTCCTAAGTCACTATGTCCTTTCGTCCTTGTCCGACACTCTGTTCGCGACACTCCGCTTAGCCGGCGTACTCGTTT